GTCAAGCCCCCCGATCAATGATAACGGGCCCAAAGTGAAGGGGTACATATAAACATACGTAAAACCCTTCTTGGAGAAGGTTACCCGCTCTGCTAGGTTAGGGGCAATGATGTTCAAATCTTGACAACCACAGTCTTCCTTCATATCAAGGATGCTAGAAGGACGAATGGAAGAAGACTATACCCCAACAGCCCATGTGTGGGGGTTAGCAAAAGGGTACTTCTCTTCGAAGTCTTTAGTTGTAGTAAGCCTTCTGGGATAATGGTGCTCAACGTAGGAGCAGGAGCATCATCAGTGTTTTCTTGTTCTTTGAAGCACTAGAATTTCTGGAAGAGGAGGCCATTGTTATCAGAAAGAAGTAAGGGGTTTTCCTATGAAGAAGAAGATTAAAGGAAGTTGAAAACAAGTGTGATATGAGTAAAGAGAGATTGATAGAGTTTAGAAACTTATGAAGTGTAAAAAGAGAAGATAGATGCGTATAACCAAAGGAATAGGCAACTAAAATCACGGCCATAATTACCTCGAGAACTGGCGAAAGTTTTGTTGAATCATGGGATGACGCGTGTTCGGGGCATTAAATGCGGAGAGACGTACGTCTAATCAACTGTCAAAAACTTTTCAGAGGGGATCCGAGAATTTCCCGCCAAGAAAGGTATCTTCACCAACTTCCCAGTGATACAAGGTATGCCACCGAAAAGTAGGGGGACTATCTGTATAGGGTAAAGTATGTTCATATTAAATTCTCGCATAATAAAATGCCACATGGAGCCGAAGGCAGATGGATAGCGAGGCAAATGGCAATTAGGTCCAAAGGCAATAATCCTATTTGTTCCCGAAGGGACTGATGCACATAAAGACAAAATAAATGCCTATCACCCGGTAGCATGTAATGGAGAATATTCTATAGCATTAAGTACGTAGTTCGTTACAGAGAATATGACATTCATTGCCTACCGTTACACATTTTTCAATGGCCTCAATAATTGTCATTTAAGAGGGGCTTGATCCTAGGACCTTGTTCCCTGGGAACAACTATAAATAGTGAGCTCAAAGCCATTGTAAAGGGGAGGAATTTTTTGACAAGCTCATAATATACATTGTTTAAAGTTCAATAATATTTTATCTTCTTGCTTATTAATATTGTTACTACTGCCTCCGGAAGCTCTGCTCCCGGAACCAGAATTTCTGGTGTCTTATCTCGATTTCAATGTTAAGTCTTACATTCTTGTTTAATTTATTTGCCATTTTGGGATCAACCCGATTCACTTGTCTATAAACCACATATAAATTCAACTGTACCATTTTACGGGTAAACAGAAGTGTTCCTTTTACTAAGGGACTTAATCCCTCATCGGAAAATAAAAAGAAAATCCTTGTGCTTTTATAGAAAAGCAAATCTTCTATCTCTTAAAAGAGTTGAGAAGAAGTGGTGTCTCGCATTGTCGTCTTCGAGTATCGCTTGCTCGGCATTGATTAATAAAGTAAAATTCGCGGTTTAATTTCCTTTTCCTAAAGCAAAATTTATTATTAAAATTGTCGATTTAAATTTCTTATTTTCAACAGTAATTTCTAATCTTAAAACACTCTCCCCTCTTTTTTTTGCATATTGCATAGTTTTTGAAAGAAAAAACATAAGTGTTCAATGTGATTTGCAGTCGTTTGTTGAGTTCGCTAAAGTTCTGTAATTTTTATTGTCGGTAATACAAAATGGTTGTTCCATACTTCCATTCTATCTTAGGAAAAAATCCAATAACCTTGGGCACAGTGAGGGGATTAAATTCATTAAAAAAAATACAATTTTCTGTTGGCTTAGAACAATTTAATTCTCCTACTTCTATTTTTGTTTTATTTTTTTACAAAATTTATTTTCGAACACAATTTATTAACTTTAAGTGTTATATAGGGGTAGTGGTAAAAAATTAAACTAGTGCTTAGAAAGTTAAATAGTATGAGCAAGAAACCATCACAATAAGGTATAACCCGTTATTACTATTACTTTCATTTTCAATTTTTCAAAGTTACTAATCTATAGATACTAGTAATATTTACTATAAACAACATCAAGTTGGCTTTTAAAAGTTACACCTACTTGATTATGTAAATATATATCCTTTACTTTTTTGTATACAAAACTTAAAATTCTTACTTAAAAGAAAGGAGTATCAAACATTTGAAATTATTTAAAATAAAAAGAGTCATATCATTTAAAGTGGAAGTAATTGAATAATAATTAACTACTAACTAAATCTAGACTTTCTCCTCCAATTACAAGAATCTGCATGACCAAAAAAATTATTCAAAACCACCCACCACATCACCTACTCCATCCCTATAAATACAGCTAACTTCATTTTCTTTCAAAGGCAAACACTAAACAACACTTTTCCTTTCACTTAGAGAAAATTGAGACCCCTCATTTGGTTTCTTCTTTCTCATTTGGAAGGTTTTCAAAAGCAAAAGTTTTGTTTTAATTAAATGGAGAATCTACCAGTATCACTGTTTATGGAAACTACATTAACATCATCGCCAACGTTGCCCCCTAGCAACAACATTTCTTCTTCACAGAAAAATGAGGGTCTTGATTTGGCTTCTGCCACCCCCAAAACAGTAGGTGTTATTACTACATGATGTTAATCTTCGCGAAGAGGTTATCAATCAACTAACTAAGGTGACACGTTTTAAACCTTTTTATCTAAGTGTTTATATATATATTTATATATATATATATATATATATGCATTTTGAGTACGTGTTAGTTTTTGTTCATTTATTTGTTTGTTGTGTTTTTGTCCTCTACGTTCGGTGTGTGCATGAGAGATATAAAGGTATAAGGAAGTTCATTTAATTTGTGTTGTCTTCCATGCCTTAATTCTTTTGCTCTTTGAATGATCGCTAGAATCCACATTGAATTCTCAGAATGATATGATTGAATGTTTTCTATTTCTATTAGAGGTGTTAAAACGGGCTAGCAGGTTTTAGAATTCTAACGGATCAAGTATACAACTAGACCTCAAAATGGATTAGAGCCCGTTCGTATTAGCTAATCGTAAATAGTTGATAAGCTTCAAATGCTGAAACTGATTTTTTAATTAAGCATTCACGTGTTTGGATTGACGCGCCGAAACTGATAATATGCAGTTGATGTGTGTTGATAAGCTGTTCTTTTATTAAAATGGCTAAAATACCCTTAAATTTTAATAAAAGATGAGTATAAATTAAAAAGTTTCTTTGTAAAGAAAAGAATGAACAACGAATGTGGAACGAAGAGAAAGTTAGGAAATTTATTTTGGGAAAAGTATTTTCTGAACTAAAAAATATTATTAAGGATAAACTAGTAAAAGCATTGGTTCAAACTAAAAGTGTTTATAAGCTGAAAAGTCATAAGTTGGGGGTGATCAACTTATGACTTATGATTGATTTTAGCTTATAAACACTTGATTTATAAGCACTTTGAATGCTTATCAAACGCGTAAATAAACCAAAAATACTTATAAGTCCGCCTAACTATAAGCTTAGCGAAATACCCTCTTAGTCCGCAATTGGGAGAGCTTGCAAAATGCTAGCCCAACTCAACCCTAAGTAGGTCGCGAGTTACCACTTTATATTAGTATGTTTTTTATTTTTAAAAAAAAAGTTATTAATTTTGTCAATTTGCCACGGTAATGTCACTTCTATGACGACAAGTAGTTCTTTATTCAATTTCTTAAGCAGGATCCAACACAATTATTTATCTTTTCCCCATCAAACAAACAAGAACTATAACAAAGACTTGTATTCAATATGATATAAAAACATTCTTCTAGTTATAAGAATGAAATATACAAATCATTTAAACATGATGTGTTCCTTACATCATCGTCCATTAATTTTTTTTTTTTTTAACCCCTTCCAAATTAGGAGGATCTATAGTGTTTCCACGCTTCCCTTCCGGCGTAACTCGAACCCAGGACCTAACGGTCGTAGGTGGAGGTGCTTACCAACTAAGCAAGCCTCACTTGTCTCATCCATTAATTAAGATCCACAAAAGAAAGGAGACCACATCCTTAAATATTGGAATTTTGACTTTGATGGACAATTAATTATCTTCTTATGAATGAGTGAAAAAAAATCCTAAAAATAATTGATGATACATACGCTATTAGTTATTTCACCTCTTGTATGTGGGTATTTCTTATTTATACTTCGGTAAAATGGTAATTTGAAAAAGATGATAATTATTTTGCTTGTCCTTGGATACAGCGTTGCGAGGTGGTGTAATGGTGTATTGCGACTTCATTGCAATTCCGTCTACATCAACAAAGGATTAGGCAATTTTTGTTTAATTCAATTGTTTGTGGTCTGATAACATAAATTTAATTTAAATTGTAATTATTAGTTATAAGATATATCTAACCAACTTTATTATTTCAGGAATTTAATGTCCTCTAATTTCAATTTGTGCAATTACTTCCTCCGTTCCAGTTTAGGTGAATCTATTTCTTTTTTGGTCTGATCCAAACAGAATGACGTCCTAATGACAATTTAGCTTAAACATCCAATTCTATGCTTAATGACAAGCTTTTATAACCGCACAAATACTCTGGATCTCTTCTTGACTTGTTTAGGACCACAAATTAAAAAAAAAAAAAAACTTTATTTTTTCTTAAATTTCATGCCCAATCAAACAAGTTCGCTAGGATTTTGCAACTTCATTAAGCACGTGAATTTAGGATTTATGTGAAAGTGCTAGAAAATATTGTGTACACATTACCTACCCTATACCCAGAATCCACTGTGACATATATCTAAGTTTGGGTAATTAAATATTTCCTATTATTTCAGAAGCGAGACACATGCACAGAGCTACCTTTGCTGTTGTGGAACACCTTCAATGCAGTCTTCATACTTGTACAGGTATATAATATAATATACCTCTTTCGAATTTTCACTCATCTACCTAACTTCAGTTGGATAATGAATATATAAGTTTTAAGTTGAACCCATCATTTTCATAATAGATAAATAGATGATTGTGCATATTAATTTTATTTTTCTTTTGAGTTATAATTTTCCACCAACCAGCAAGTGTAAATGAATTTTCTTTAATTGATTAGAAGAATACGTTTTAATCTGCAATTATACTTAGTTGTGAATACCTGTTAATTTCAGGAAGTGATAGCAGTGTACCCGAAGTTGTCAACCTCAACGGTATCTATTAAGGAGTTAACTCGAGTGTGTAATGCCCTTGCTTTGTTTCAGGTCAGAAATGCAATACTAAATTATGTGTTTGATTTGGTGATCAATGTGCTTTATGCTGCAATTGTCAATCAGAGATGTGATGTCTTTATTTTTCTTGGCTTCTAGCCCTCAAGTGAACGCAGCAGAGATACCCTTAAGTTTTTTTTTAAATAAGTTCAGCCGAGTAGTTGTTGCCATGTGACCAGGAGGTTACGGGTTCGAAACAGTCTCTTGCAGTGTAACGCTGCGTACAAAGACCCTTGTGGTCCGTCCAAATTTAGTGTAACGGACTGCCCTTTTAAGTTCAGCTGAGTAATATCAGATAAGATAGTAATATCTTTTTCATGGCCACAAGATTATCTTAATGTTCAGTCGATAGGTCATGAAATGAATTTGCTGATATCATGACATAACGTATTTTTGACACCACTTCATGATATGCATCCACCTTACTGTTTTATGGTTATATTCTACAGTGTATGGGAAATCACCAAGAAACAAGAAGGGAGCTCATAAAAGGTAATAATGTCAGTTCTTGAAATGATACAAATTTAAACCTATATATGCTGAACTACTTGTAAAAAGTGAACCAAATTGCTGCAAGTGTATGAGCATGGGAAGATTCAGGTACTTTACAGTTTCAAAATGATCGTATTACATTATCTATTTTACCCTTTCAATAACCTTCTAGAGTTAAATAAATTTATCCACATCTATTGGCATATCTTCCTTCTCTATTCCTGCCAGCGTCTAAACGAGTAGAAGTACAAATTCTACCAGCTGTAGTCCGTTTTCATTCTATTCTTGTGTTTCATCTGTATAATCATTCAAAAGAAAGTTTCTATTTCTATAAACTGTGATTCTAATTTTGTCCCAACACAAATGGAATATGTTCATTCCATTATCATTTTTGTGGTGAAACGTGCAGATCATGCTTGTGAAACTTTTGCAAATCATATATCCTTTTAATGCTCTAGTTTCCTCCAACTCTAATTTTTCGTATCGCTCTGCATTCCCCTCCCCCTCCCCCTCTTCTCTTTTGATGGGAATGCTGGAGTAATTGCAGCCTGAATTACAATTGGTTTTCCTATTGTTGAGAAACACAGTTTAACTCTTCTAGTAACTATTCTTTGCAGCTAAAATACCATTTTATTTTTACCCATTTCTCAAGACCAATGGAAAAAATGGAAATGACAAGCCTTTGGAGTTTATCAGGCTCACCAGCTTGGGTGTTATCGGTTCCCTAACAAAGGTATTCTTCCATTTGAACAAATACACGCGTGCCCTCTCCATTGTTGTCGCTCATTCATTTCATGCATTTGTTTTTTTTCAATTTTCTTCAAGACTGGATGTTCGGTAGTTAACACTACTTTACTGTTTACATATGCCTTAACTAGACATAGTGTAAGTATTAGTTACGGCTGATGGCTACCTGATAATCATTCTTAAATCAAGTATCTGTATTTTCTTCTTGAGGTATCCATCTGCATTTCTTGAATCATTTATTCACAATGCTATATATGGCATTTCATATTGGTAATTAGACCACTGATAATACATTTATAGCATTATTTGATTCTGAATTTTGCTTGCTAATGCAGTTTGATGATCCATACGGTGGTGAGATCCTTTATTTTTTCCTGGAAACAGAACTGGTTCCTTTGTGCCTGCATTGCATGGATCTAGGTGATGAATTGTCGCGTACGGTTAGCCTGCTACATATTGATTCTATTCCTTTTTTGTTTTCGATGTTGAATTATTAGGTTACAACTAGGATAATATATTTCAGACAGGATTAGTGTTATCAAAGGCGCACTTAAGCCCTGAAGCGAGGCTCAAAACATATTGAGCGTTTCGTCTCGCTTAGCAGGCGCTTCAGTATTTTCACCAAGGCTCTAAGGCATACTTTTTCTTGTTAATGAGCGTAATCTGGAAGAGCAGACATTAAACAATTGATATTTCACTTTATCCTAAATTTTCTTCAATTTCTTTCTCCATATTAGTCTTGCACTACATATTTATATTCGTAGTTTTTCTCCATTTGCGCCTTTCTTCCTTAAAGCCTACACTTTATTTTCACTTTGCGCTTAAAGCCCTAACAGTAACACACCTTAGAGCTTTTTTGCGCTTTTCGCCTTTGATAACACTGGACAAGATTGTATCTATTCAATATCTTGTTTTGGCTTGTATAAGCTTGATTGCTGTTGCATAGGGAAAGGGAGAAAAGGATGCTTCAGATATGTTCGCGAAGTCCTGATTTTCCACTCTGCCTTACAAATTGTGTTTCGTATTAACTTTACTGGTTTGTGGCGATATGTTGATTCGTGCATCAAAGTATAACGTTCTATGTCCGCACAGGTTGCAACACTCATAGTTATGAAGATTTTGATGCAAGAGGAAGGACTAAGCTATTGCTGTGCTTGAACGGTTTTACTCAATAGTACAGGTCTTGCATCGAGTAGTACAGAAACTTTCTCAAAAACCCTGTATACTGCTGCTAAGATATGTGATACAATCTTATCTGTGTCTTTCACAAGTATCAAGGTTCGTCGGGTAAACATCTTTGTCCCTGCTGCTCAGGTTTCATAATTTGTGATTTTTCTGTTATATTTCTCTTTGAATTTGTTGTTTGATCCACTTTCATAATGCAGGCCATCTGATGCATTCAGAAGCCAAATTCCTTGTCAGCTATTTGACAACACCTTTATGGACATGCTTCGTGTGAGTTCATCTTCTCTCCTCCTATTTACACACTAATAAACATGATGCATCTTCTAAAGCATTTCTACTATTAGAATATCAGCCTATATTGATCTTTTCCAATTACTGATACAACTTGATAGATCTGAGGGTCTACCGAAAACAGCCTTTCTATCCCTCAAGGTAGATGTAAGATTTGCGTACATTCTCCAAACCCCACTTGTGGGATCACACTGGGTATTGTTGTCGATACAACTTCATGTGTATACTTACTTGTTCTGCATATGCCTTAGCAGGATGACCCCGAAACTTCAACGATGTTGCAGCAGCTATATGTCCATATAATGCGCTGATCAAGACAGTAATAAGATTGTAAACATGGATACAACAATTCAATAGACTAGGGAAGAACTGAACTTGTTCTAAAGGAACTTCTTAGATTCCAAATGAGGGATAAAATGTTTTTGAGTTAACAATTCAACAGGAAATGCTTCTTGCATAATATAGCTTTGTTAAAACTAGTTTTGTCTTTGCTGGTAGTTTTTCCTAAATCTGCGCTTAGTGCTAAATAAGTGAATCGTTTAAGGAAGAGATAAAGGTAATATTCTTATGATTACTGCAATTAAAATGTCTTTCCTATGCAGACGGCTATATGTGGAGAAAGTATCACCCAATGGATTAAATCTAAAGACCCCTTTCAGCCATTTTCATTTGACTTATTTAAAGTGCCAAAAAGAGATATTGGATCGACACATATCCCTTCTCCCTCAAGCTTGAATCTGTAATTAACCTTATTAAATCCCGATTTTCTATTAATCTTAATATCTGGCCTACACATAGAGTAGAAAAAACTATGGATATGATTAATGAACATAATAGTATCACGATAAGTTTGATGCAGAAAGGAACATTGTGAACATCCAAACCAAGTTTGTCTCATTTGTTTCAAGCTAAGACATTCATTCAGGTGGTTTCCAATCGTATGCCAATAATAAAATCATTGTAACAACACAATCTAATCTTTTTTTGAAAATGAGAACACGGTCTAATCTTTATATATCTTCCTATGCGTATGTCATAAAGTGGTTCATCTCAAACTAACATAGCAAATCAGAAAGCTACTCTAGGGATGTGATTTGTTTACCTCTAATCTAAAAAGAAACAGGACTCTTCTTCTCTCTTCAGTTACAACATAATAATATGTGTTACTCCTTCGCACCCATTCAAGAAATTTAAGATAGAAAATTACAAAAGTAATCATATTCTCTTACAATAAAATACATGAACAGGATCGACCTGATTACAAAAATCTTGAAGGCTAACCAAGTGAACAAAATCCCTGAGAAGAGAATTGTTGGATTTCGAGGGAATGGATAGATTGGTCTCGAGCATAAAAGAAAGATCATGCATCTGCGACATTATACCTTCTATATCCATATTATTCTTTGATGGATTTGATTCACCACGAATGTCTGTATTCTCTGAAGCATCACCAACCTTGCTTCGGCTATCAACGGCACTAAAATATGTCAAATGAAATGTAAGAAATTGTTGATTGAACTTATAATTAGGAAGTTAACAGTTCAATGACAAAAAAACAAAAATACAATCATGATTTAACATGGCAACCTCTCCAAGTATTGCCTCCTAAGTATTTCTTATTCTTCACTTAAGGTCGTAATGGGACCTCTTCCACTAGAAATGTTAAGTCTAGATATCTTTATATAACATAAGCTTCAACGATATCAATTGTCAGCCATTATATATAGCTAAATGGCTCAATAGATACAGAGCGAATTCAGAAAGTATCATTTTTTTTTCTTTTTTTGTTGCTTTTTTTGGGGTGAGCAGGGTTGAGTTGCTTTGCTCTCATGAAATCTCTAGAATAAAAAAGAAAATCAATGTAAGGTTTAGCATCAATTAATCAACAGAGCTACTTGTTATTTACTCAAGGAAGATAGTTGGATAAATAGGTAATAAAGATCTATCGAGATTCGAGTCAATCACCCTGGAAATATCTATAATATCTCTTGATTTTTTTTTCCCAAAACTAGGTTGGATTTGAGTCATCGTTTTGGTTATTGTTGTGAGTTTACCTCTCTGGGAGGAAACATGTAACTCTCATCCTGGGAAGACGGAAATAATTTCCTCTCTCAGCTCCAAAAGAGCCCATGTAATCCTCCTCTTCTAGAAACTTCTACCTTTCAACCTCCAAGTCATTACAAAATGTAAAACCCTTTAGTGAACACGTTCGTATCTTTTTTCCATTTCTCTGAATTTCTTGTTTTCAGGTGAGGGAGGCACAGGGTAGGTGAAAGGGGAAGAGGAGTCTAGTGAGAATCGGACCTTGCACCTCCAGGATGAAAGACAGTTACCAATCAATAGTCAGTTCCTATTTTCTTCTGTCTCAAATTTGCACAAAGTTGAATTTTATACAAAGTTGAACCAACAAAACTTCAAAACTGTCATAAGCTTATTGTACCCTTACCTTCTCCAAGGAACTTTCAGCGGATACTGCATTATTTTTCCTATATTCTTTTCTTCCATTGCTCCTTCCTCATACTTTTTGATTCTTTTTCCCATTTCACAAATATTTTATATTCTGTGATACTTATTTTTATTTAATTCGTTTATTTTACTTTCAAAAGCCATGGTTGAAGCCTGCGTTCTTCCAGATTCTCCTTTCTTTTCGATTGCTTTTTATTTGCCTCGTATTATGTGATTTTCATTATGTTAAGATCTAATCCCTCCATTTCTACCTTAGCTCTATGTTTGGCTCCAGGAAGGGGAGAGGGAGGGTGAAAGCCAAGGTAAGATTTTGATAATTTACTTCCAATCATTTGGTATAGAAGGAAATAAATCCAAATTATTTCTTCCTTTCTGTCCAATCGGAAAATCTTATGTGGAGGGGTATTCTGACCCCTCTAAATTTACTTCACCTGCCTTACTCTTAAACAAGGGAAATAACCTTAATCCCCAGATTTCCTGCCGATCCTCCAGCCCCTCCACTTTTTGCCCCAACCATAGTATAAGACCACTATTTGATGCCTATGTTCCTCGGAATCTCCACTAATCAAAAGAAGTCCTCCTAAATCAGCCATATTACAAAAATAATAAAAATATGCACACACCTGAATATGGTAGGAACTTCCAAAATATTGTCATTCACTTCCGCAGAAACATCCTCTTTACCTGGTGCACCTGAAAAAGGATCTGACTGCGAAAAACTGCCAAAATCCATATCTTCAAGGTTTGAACTCAAGAAAGCAGAGAGGCTGTTTCCGAAAGACCATCGGCTTAGGAAAAGATAAAAGGAAGGGCAGCAACAAGTTCATGATATAAATATAGTTTTATTTTTTTATAAAGCACTAGAGACGGAGACTAGTTTACATCACCAAGAATTAGTAAAGCACTCAGGTAAAGAGCATGTATCACCAATTCACCACGCATACACTTAACAAATATATTTGAATAGTTCAACCACTAGAACCCCATTTGGTTCAAATCCTAGATTCAAATCCTAGGATACTTCAGACAACAACAACAACCCAGTAAAATCCTACTAGTGGAGTTTAGGAAGGGTAGTGTGTACGCAGACCTTACCACTACCCCGAAGGGGTAGAGAGGTTGTTTTCGAAAGACCCTCGGCTCAAGAAAACAAAAAAGACAAAAAGAGACAATATTAGTATCACCATTGAAATCATAGAAAAATAGGAACAACACGAAATCCGGAAGAAAGATGCAAAGCAAAGCAAAAACGATAGCTAGTAAATAGGTCCTGCACTGAAAAGCGAAATAGTAAGACACAACGTTGCCACTATCTGTCTTAGACAAAAACCCTACCAGCCTAGTCTGACAAAGGTACGAAGTAAGGCAAGAATCAAGTAACTTCTAACCTAGAACTCTAATACTCGACCTCCACATCTTCCTATCAAGTATCGTGTCCTTGGAAATATGAAGCCTCGCCATATCCTGCCAGATCATCTCTCCTCAATACTTCTTAAGCCGCCCTCTACCTCTTTTCGTGCCCTCCACAAAGAGCCGCTCATACTTCAGATAAATCTCCTAGAAATATTTCTGATCTCCTTTTGACTTCTCACTTCATGAATCCAATGCAACACAGCTGTTACAATCCTTAATCTGAGAGAGGAAGAGAAAGAAGGACGATTTCCACGAGAGGGGAAAATTTTTCATTAACTACATTACACAGCTTGCAGATATAACTTGAGCTTCTCATAGGTTGAAGCTCTATGCAAGTGAAACTAAATATGGAAATCAACTAACAAAATAAATAGAAATTATCCAACTGCTATACAGTTGCTGACTTCCAAACAGATTTTCTTCAAAACTCTCTAGCTGCATCTTATCTCAACTTTGCTCACAGCAACTGCTTGAATTTTCACGAATCACATTATTCCAGCTTATTCCGAGAATACAATATTGCATATGCTGCGACCATACTTGGTGTACAATCAGAAAGTGGAACGCTCATCTCCCCCTTGGTTGAGCAACTAATGTTCATCTTTGGAGGTCTTAGCAGCTCAATAACCTCTTCAGCAGCATTAATTTGTTTTTCTCGAAGGTTGTCATCAAGTATTAAATCCCTGTGATTTTAAGATTCCCAATTCATATTTAAGCCGTTTTTAAAGATTTATTGCATGTACTCTTACGCAAACAGAGGCAGACAAATGCTGCTCTCTGTTGTTCTTTTTTCTTGATTGGTTTGGTTTACTTTTGACAACCAGAAAACAACAAAACTACAAGGGACAAGGATCATTTAGTCGAAGCTTACTTGAGTAATGACGCAAATTTTGAAGGAGTGCAATCTTGAAATAGAGCTTCAGGGATTATAGCTGAATCCAAAAGAATATTAGGAAGAGAGATGTATGGTATAATAGCTTTGTATCGTATAACTAATTCTGTCAGGAGATGGGCTCGATACGCAACAACACATGGCAGTCTTGCAAGCTGCACTTCCATCGCAACTGTACCAGAAGTACATAGTGCTACACTGCTTGCCTGCAGAAGCACAGTTCATGTTACCGCATCCACCTTGAAACATGAGGCAACTTAATATATTCATGAATCATGAACCAGAAAAGTAAAGAACTGAGAATTATCTCCATATTGATTTAGTCATTCATAGGTATGTTACTTCTTTACGCAAAGATGATTTAACAGCAGAAAAATTGTGGGCCATAGGCCATGTATATCCCCCTCAATAATTTTAAAAAAAAATACATTAAAGTTTCACTTTATGATAAAAAATTGGATAAAAAGGAAAAACTAATTATAGTGACAAAGTGCAAAGCACACAATTCACATAAAATGCAAATACTAATAACTATATTTAGGAAGAGTCTTTTGGATAAAACAAAGATTTTCTGAAACAGATCTTGGAGTTACTGCTGGCACTTAAAAACATAACTATAGCTTGCCTAGTATCAAATCCACATAAAAAGTCTTGAATAACTGGGAAAAAAATGAACAATTTGAAAGAAACTCGTAACAAGCATAAAGTACCATTTACTCGTTCTTGATTAATAAATAACTTCAGCAAATCAGCCAGGAGCTTAAAGGATATACCATCTATTATCAAGAACAAAACTAGAAGTAGAAAACATGGTAGCCAATTGGCAACCTCTAGTAGCAACGACTCGGTTTTCATCCTTGGAAATGAGATCCACAAGATCCAGACCAAGTGTCTGGCTCTTTCCTACTCACGATGTATCAAACTCCCAACATTATGAGGAACAATTAAATACAAATAAAAGATAAAAAAGGGAAGCCCGGTACACAAAACATCTCGCATTCACGCAGTGTCCGGGAAGGGCCGCACCGCACCCTAAGGGGTGTGATGTAGTCAGCTTACCCTAATGCAAGCATTAGTGGCGCTTCCACGGCTTGAACCCATGACCTATAGGACACACGGAGACAACTTTATCATCGCTCCAAGGCTCCCCTTCATAGATGCTAATTATCCATTGCAAGGCACATTCATCGAGGTCTGTACCTTAAAAATACCGTCAAGGGACTTGCTCCATTTCCAGTTACACTCTTTTTCCAATTCATTGAGTCACTTCGACCACAGTATGTCCCAAAACAGTTAATTCTTCCAGAATAATGAGCATTGAAACCTCTTCCTATTCCCCAAAAGTTCACAGCCGGAATAGGAGCATAATTCTAGTCCAAGCTACATCACTTCAAAATGTAAAGATACAAGAGTCGAGGCCTTACACTAAATGAATTGTATTTAATCTGGTGTGATCCTCCAGGAACCAATACAACAGATGGCCACTTACAAACAGTTTTATCAATGTAGTCTTCCACATGTTGATTAGGTGCCACATGAACTGCTGTTACCAAGTCCGGAAATGAACCTTTCAAATGTTCCAAAGTGCTTGAGAATATGGGGAACATTCGAGTAACCTCCTGTAATCTACTTCCAGGAAGCAAGGAAATGACTGGGGATCCTTCAAATTAAGCTAACAACACAATTAGAAAGTTGGCAAGGAGAAACAAAATTGATAGAATAGCACAGTCAACCGATAAAAGGTAATAATATCCTCTCTTCTTTTCAGTAAGCCACTGAGAAGGAGACACAGAGATTTTGACAGATTGGAAGTAAATACAGAGAACACAATCTTGCATCGTTAGATAACCAACAAATTACAGCAAAAGCATAGAAATAATATTTTCTTTTTGAAATGGTATAGAAAATATATATTGTTCATACAAATTGAAATTTTTTCACACCATAGTACTTTCATCACGGGTATGAAACTTGGCTATACTATGCACATATATAATCTATTATGATGCATCATATACTTTCTCACAATATATTAGTACAAGTTAACATACCTGATGATATTCCATGATCAGTTAGAAATGCTTCAGCATTTCCTTGAATTCTGTATCTTCTTTCTGTGGCATCCTTCAACTAAAATTGAATATTAGACAACATTACGCCATTACACTATATAAAATTATAATTTCACTGTTGCATTGGTAGAATAACTTTATTCCCCACTTGTTCATATTTCTTAGCATTTCTCTTCTCTTTGTTCCCCTGGTGGGATTCATCAGTGTATATAAATGATTGATTAGGTGGGTTGTTAATTGACAAGACAAAAAAATTGCAATTTCAAAAGTTAAAAACAATACTTTAACGTGACGACAGCATTATCAAGGAATCACTCGATCCCACCAGGAAATTGCACAGAAATTCTTAGTGGATAGTTTCTTGAAGGAAAGAAATTTTATCACACTAATGAAATCATCACTTCGTAAATTGTTTCTTGGAAAGAAAGAATATCTGCATGCTCAAAAGCTAAAAATCCAGACACTGGTATATGAAGGCACTATTTGAATGACGAAGTCTTTCATGTACCAAATGTAGAATAAAACACAAATCAAAATACTGATTTACCTGGAAGTCCGAAATATCTTCAAGGGTGGGATGACCAACAAAGGTTGCTGCTAGGCCGTTTGATCTACAGACTTCTGCCTCAAACGGAAGAATGCATAACACATGATCCACAAACTGAAGAAGTCCTTTTAGTCTTGCTTCACCACCTTTCCAAGCCCAAAATGACGGTGATACATAATGGAAGTGCAAAGGGCTAACCATCCCCTGCTGAGCAGACGTAGCTGCAAAAAGTATTTCCAGTGCACAAGGAAAACGAGAGAAATCTCTTTCGAACTCACAAAAGCTACAGAGCATTACCCCTCAAATGCTTTAAGAAACGGAAGGAGAATCCTTTAGAGTCCACAGTGAGTACGACATGAGGCCTAAAAGAAAGAGCTGCTTCTATAGTTTGTTTCAGCCTAACCTGTCATTTTAAAATTCAAATAAGGTCCAAATTTCATGCATGGATAATTATTAATTTTTACTTGGAAAAACTATAACTTGATTTTTAGTATGCAGAAAATTCAAAATAATTCATACTCTAAATTGATTAAGATATGGCAGCAACTCCCATATGCCCATTACTGCAATATCCTCTATTGGGAACAGAGTATTCAACCCCTGCTTACACATCATCTTCCAGATAAACATACACACCACAGAAAGAATAATGATAATTAAAGGAGTTGACAACTTGACTTAATTATAGCTGCTGCAACTTTTGACTAGTGAAAGCATATTAATAATTTCAAGTTTCAATTATAATTTTAAAAATATTACTAATAATTAGCAAAACGGACAGGCAAAGGAGAAAGCTTTTCTAGAGAATTCATGACACGGGAACCAATGGTATCACCAGAAACCTCGCCGGCAACAATGAAGACCCTGAGTTGTGCATCTTTTGAAGCCAAATCAACTGCACTTTGACTTGAAACTGAGAATGTTCTTCTCATTTGCCGCATCAAGTTTAGGTTTGTTTCAGTATTCGCATTCCAAATTCTTCTAATAAACATATCTTGGTCTCCCTAAAACGAAAATACTACTTAATACGCAAAAAGAAAAAGTTAGTGAAAACCTTATTTTGGAAAGTATTAAGTAGCAAATGAAATGGGAATTTCAGCAAAGCACTCAACTTGTAGTATCTTCGTTTTTTTGTCTGGAAAATGGCAGTCTCAACCAGCGCTCACTCTCTTCTTTCCCTTTTTTCTGCCAAAATTTCATGGTATAGCCAGTTTTCGGACTGGTCAATCAAAAATAGCCAGCGTTTACCAAGTCAATGAAAAATAGCCACCGTTTTGCTGCAATAGAGACCGGTCCAGCATAATATACTGGAGTTTCGGTGCACTTGTGTATGAACTCCAGCATATTATGCTGGACCGGTATACTTTGATGGCTCCAGTATAATATACTGGAGACTGGAGCACTGGTGCTCCAAACTCCAGTATATTATAGTGGACCATTATACTTGCTGGAACTCCAGTATATTATGCTGGAGTTCTAGTGTATTTATGCCGGAACTCCACTATCCTGGAACTCCAGTATAATATGCTGGAGTTCAAGTATACTTATGCTGGAACTCCAGCATAATATACTGGAGTATTTTCCGAGTTTTGAACAGTGTTTTCGCTCAGATTTATATTTACATAAAAAATGGCTAAATTTCGATTACTTTTGAAATTGGGCTATTTTTGAACGACCGGTTGTAAATCTGGCTATTTTTAAAAATCACCCCTCTTTCCTTTCTAATTTGATGATTCGGGTCAGTAAAATGAAGCGGACCAAATAGGGCTATTATCACTTTTAGTCCGCGCCAAAAATTATTTATATATGATACCAAATGTATATTTATATATGTTTCGACTATTATTTGTACAGTATCATTATTCCGACCAAATAAGCTTGGGCGATTGACAGAAATGGCCTCAGGATTGGTCTTAGCGGAATGTCTCCGATATTTGTGATATTTAAAAAATAACCTGACCCATACACAGTTATCGCTCTTCGGTATTTTCCTACATGATTGATAGAGTCTAAGCTATATTTACTCTACTTATTTGTTAAATTGTTCAACAAAATCTGCCAGATTAACATGATTTTATTCTTCATAGAATTTTTTCTTTCGGATTGCTGGAGTTTATGCTATGTTTACTCCAACTATCTATTAAGTTGTTCATCAAAGTCTACTCGATTAGCATTTTTTTTTTTTTTGTTATTTTAACAAAGTGTTCTTTGAATTTACAACTTCAATTACGATCAAAACACCCCAATTTTGCTCCAAATGGTCTTAAATTTGAAACGAAGCTTCCAACTACCCGCGCACAAATCATAATCAGCAATTTATTCAAATAACACCAAATCAAAAAGGCCTATTTTGTATTTTTCAATATTTTTAAGGTCCAATAATATAGTATTGAAATTTTTACAGTAAATCAATAAATCAAAGTTTGAGCTAAAAATCTAAGCATAAATTATAACATTCAAATGTTTTTAACAATAATGGATTATTACTCTTCACTTTATACTGCCAAACAAGAACTTTAAGCTTTGGAATATTGAAGAACTATGGTGTTTAAGTAAAAAAAAGTTGGGATATTTTGCTAAGACCGTAAAAAAAAGAGGGAACATTCCGTCAAGATCAATCCCCGTAAAGTGCACTTTTTAAGGAAATCTTACAGAAATGACCCAAAAAAGTCCCAACTTACCAATTTATAGCCGTTAATCATAGACTTACTAAAACTAATCAAGCACATATCAATTAAATACCCAAAGAAATAAAGTTCTTTCTCTCAAAGAATCACACACAAAGATCTCCTTCCATATTTTTAAGCACAATTAGAAACATTAGATGCAAGACGGAAAGGAAAATTCATGGATGAGGTAGCAAATAAGGTGATGAAATACAAAAAAGAAATATACAAGATTCCAAAAATCTAAACAAAAAGGAATTTTTTCAATGGGTATGGTTGAGATTCATTGAAAACATATAGACGAGTCAATATATAAAATTCGAGGAAGATTGGAGGTGATTTGGACTGAATTAGTATCAAAATTCGTAGTTAAAATCGAGTTCAAAAAGTTCTTCTGCGACACTTGTATCACGCATGTATCACACACGCAGGTATACATGGATATATATACATATGATACACATTTGATACAAGTATAATACATATCTGATACACAAGTGATACATAGTGTGATACACATGCCTTTTTTCATGTTCATCTTCTACTTCGAATTTTCAAACCACCTCAAAAGTTCACCAAATCTGAGATTCAAGCTTCTTAAGATGTATCCAATCTATTCTAATAACACTCGCTCAAAAGAAAATAAATATTTGACTTTTTTGGCTACAAATAGCTAAGTGACTAATATTAGTAATATTTCATGAATTGGCCAATTTTTATAATAAGCTACTTATAAATGGACATAAATGGTATTTTCCCTTTTTTTAATAAGCTTAGCAGCCTATATTTTGGGCCCACTTTATAATTGACACTTAAATGGAAGAAATGACACCATGTACTCATTCTAGAGAGCTGCTATTTAGAAATTAGTAAGTGTGTCATGTGTTCAATTTTTCAACTCACATTTTAAGGACACAAATTCTGAAGTTAAGATTTTTAATTTAATTTTAAAAATAAAATAAATACTGGCTAAACTCTAAATAATAGCTTAAAAATTGCTATCTGTGTCACCCCCCCCCCCCCCCCTTAATGGAAGGCTTAGCTGGTGCTGCTGCTTCCGTTACCATTTGCCCTCTTTGTAATTGTGATTGCAATTTGAAGCCCTTCTTTTTTATTCCTCCAACACACACATTTTTTCAAATATCCTGTATAAATTAAAGTAATAAAGTTTAGCTGCAAAGAACCCATAAAATAAATGAAAAATGACGAAGAACACTCCTTCGCCATAAAAACTACGCATTTAAATTTACCCTCCCTTTGAGCAGGGTTTTGCATAATTTGGTAAATATTGAATTACCGTACTGAAACTGAAAATTTTGGTATTTGGTATTTGTTATTATAGTATTCGGTATGGTATTTGGTTTAAGTTTTAAAAAAAAAATGGTATTAGGTATGGTATTTGGTATTTTAAAATAAAATATTGAAATACCGATATCGTACTGAAATATGTATTATATCATAACATACACATATTATACATACACATATTATTAATTATACCATAAATATAAACAATCTAAAATTTTACTTCCATTTAGTCTCTAAGTTCATCAATTAATTCTAAGAAAGTAACAAGACATTTCTAATGATCAAATTTATTCCTTTATGTATAGTTTTCTCTCTCTGGGTTGATATTTCCTGGTTTTGGACAAATATTATCCACAAAGGTTTTTAGTTTTGTACTTTTGAGTACTTTAATTAAGTATATTATAGCCTACAACGCTAAGCACTAGTTAGTATTCAAACCGAAGTTACCGAACCGAATAAACCTAAATCGAAACCGAAAGGAGAAAAATCGAACCATACCGAATTTAATTATGCATGGTATTGATATAGCATTTTAAAAAATCGAATACCAAAAATACAAAATCGAAATATCTAAATACGAACACCCCCTACCTTTGAGTAACCGAATCGAAAGACTGTTACTATCTAGCTGTTGAATAAAAAGACCTCAGTCTAACGGAGGGGACGTGAAGGGCTTATTAGCCAATTAACTCTCAGATGTAATATATATACTAGAATTGTATGCCCGTGCTGAGCACGGGCCCAACATCCTGCGCATATTGAATGTTTTAGGAACACGGAGAAAAACTTGAGAGAATAAACAGCATGTAGCAACTCTTTTTCTGAGAGAAAAGTAACAGAAACAGAAACCATAGAGTAAGAAGAAAGAAAGAGATCAGGAAATAGAGGAGAAGTGTCGGCCAGATGTCCCAAATAAGTAGACATGTGTCGTCCCAAGGAAGAGAAATATATGGCTGCAACTTAATTAGAATCGCTTGTACCCGCCAAGGGATAAATAAATTCAATCACCAATGACAAAGGTCCAAATCCACAGTATAATCTCGATTACTATGTGTACAATAATTTAATGCAGTGTTCGTACACCCTGCTCTCACTTATATATATAAAATTATATCAAAAGTATTTCATCAATCTAAATTTTTTATTTATCAAAGCCAAACCTGATTAATCAAAATGTCTGCATTTAACCAAACAAATATGAACCTGTATGATTGGATTTATGTGTTTCTCTCCAATCTACGCTTTTGTTCCTCTTGTAACTTACTTACTGCTTCATTGCTGAAAAGAGAAACTCAAACATGGGACTGAGGCACTTTAATGCTTCCAAGGCTTGTTGGTACATGAAAATTGTTAACATGGAAAAGGGAAGAATCATTCTTATACTTAACACTATAAAATTAAATATTTCTAATTAATTTTATTAGTAAATTAACTATTTTTAATTAAGTTTATTAGTGCTTAACACAAATAGGTGGAACTTTTCTTCGAACATGAAGAGTTAACAACCATTTATCAAAGCCACGGGAATCACACATAGGATATAAAAGGTACAGATACAAATATACTTTAACCAACCATTTTAGACTTAAGTACTTGTATAACCACACAACATTTTTTTCTATGAATTCAAACAAAAAGCTCTACTTCAAAAGTAATACGCAAAAAACAATCAAAGAACCAGAAATTGACTATGTTTCCCTCAAAAGATATTGAAAACTTAGAATCAAATCTTTGGGAAGAATTCTTTAGGAGATAAGAATCTTAAAACAAAAAGTAAAACTGAAGCTTATGCACAATGGAATCGTCATGAATTTCTTATTTCTTGGTCATTGGCAGATTCAATATGACATTAGAGCATGTATCCTTTTCAAGGGATGTATCCTTTTCACTTGTTTTACAATTTCACTGACCAATCAAATTGTTAAATTGTTAAGTTGTTGCAGGCATAACATCGAGTGCCTTAGTTGCATCGTGGTTGTAGTCTAAATCCACCATGTTAAGTAAACAACGAAAAGATCAAATAGCTGGAAAAGTAAAGTAAAAGGAAAGCAAGAAGTCATATTGATGGAAGTTGTCACTGATAATAAAATACAGCATGTACAGATAGAGAACATTATAAAAGTAAAAGTTTTCATATATACATATATCGTCAGGAAAGAAATGTATATAAAAGTAGTAAAGTTGGAGAAGAACAATTTAAAAGTCAAATATAGAGCAAATGAATAGACCCAATCTCGCAACAACAATTTTGATACTTCAGGTTATTACAAAAATTGAATTGCATAACTCACAACCAA